AGACTCTCACCATCTTCCCTCACCATTATATTTGTTGCTTGGCTACTTTAACTAAAGTCATAATATCTTGATCTTTCCATTGTAGGTCTTGAGACAATTCATGTGTAACTCCTAATATATTTTTTATTCAGTGTATGTCAAGTGGAAATTCAAAAGATTGCATGAAGTATAACAAGGCACTTGCTTGGCCTTTTTGCTATGAGTTTGTGCCATCTTTGACAATAATATCACGCACCTCAATAACAGATGAGAACATAGGGATCAAGTTGGATAGCATTTCATAATGAGAACCTAACGAGTATCTTCAGCTAGATGAAGAGATTTTTTTTTATTTAAACCTCTTCCACTTAAAAGTTCACTATTTTGTAATCCTTCTATGGTCTTGCTAACTTATTTTTCTCAAAAAATATCTCGACATTTGCAGAACCTCCAACCACATTAGCAAAATTATTTAGCATCGTAAAGAGTAAAGCATCTCAGTTTGTTGCTCTGCAACACTTATGAGAGCTAGTTGAACTACTGAAGTTGGTGTGTGAAACAATGAATATAGAAAGCATACTCACTTTCCTTCATGATCAATGTTTTGAGGTCATTAAATTCTCCTTGCATGTTATTAGCGCCATCACATTGATAAACTTAACTATGTTTTGAAAATATAACTCAATTGCTGCCTTGAGGGATAAAGAGCTTGTGGAGGAAACCTGAACAAGCTTTAGAAGACATTCAATGACACGTCCTTACTTATCCGCATTATACAACATGACAGACATTTACTTTTTAATCGATATATCACAAAACTCATACAATCAAACTAGCAAACAAATCATCACCGAGATCTTTGGTAATAACTTGAGTAGGTTCGCTTGCAGCAACACTCATAATATCCTTTGTTTAGGCGTTGCTAATTTGATATATTTACGAGCTCTTGTCAAAACATTACTAAAAGCAACATTTTGATTAGTCGCAAAACGTATACGCTCAAAAATATTTCCTTGATTACTTAACTGATCAAATTCAACATCACCGTGAAAGGCCAAACCTTAACAAAAATTGAATACAATCGATTGTTAAAATTGAATACAATCGATTTTTTCCATCAATTGAATACAATAATCCTCTTTGGCTTGATTTTGTTGCTTGGACATAGCAATATCCATGTGTTCCTTTTGCTTGATTAAAACTTTGACATTTTTTCCAAGCTTCATTACGTGTGCCATTTGAGCCATCAACATGCTTTATTAGGCTATTTTTCTTTTTCTAATTTGTATGCTCGGTGGTAACACAATCACCACTTTGGTTAGGCTTCATAAGATAGCAACACAAGCAAAAGACCGCATCTTTAGATATGCTATACTCAAGCCAATTTCAAATTCATTAAGCCAACTGTGACTGAAATGATACAGGTTGTTTCCATTTTTTATTTGTGGAAATCTATGTTGGTGTGGTTGATACGGATATTTTTGTAAATAAGCTTTTCGCATACCATCTTGATCACTGGGATGATAGTCTAAAATATTCAGTCGAAGCCCTGGATTGTCATAAAATCTCTCAAGTTCACACAGTTTCTTCGCTTGGTATTAGGTTTTAAAATTCTCACTGTTGTTTAAATTTGGAGTAGTTGGATGGTTGCTCTGTTAATGACTTTCTCTTGAGAAATTTATCCATAACTAAAAACGTTAAAAAATATAATCAATATCCAACTATTATTCCAATTAATCAATAATTTTTTACTTATATTTAGTTACCAATTCTCACATTTTTTACTTTCTACAATTTCTAATATTCATAGGACTCAAATTCACAAAATAAATAACAATCCATTAACCATAAATTCCTTTTACACTTTAATATATTTCAAAATGTAGTGAAATTGAAGAAACTATTTGACAAACAAAACTAATTTATTGTATATTCTTGATATATTACTTTTTTTGAATTGTATCCCTAAATCATAGATGAGCATGTGAATGCGTGAACTAGCAATTAAATAAGAAAATAATAACTCTTTAAAAACATAATTCAAAAGAAAATTTTGACTCACTTGATAATTGGTGAGGAGAGGAGAGGAGGAGGTCCGGACGCCTGTCGGTCTGGGCAGAGGTCCGGGCGGCGGTGGATCCTAGCAAGAGTTGATGTGGGTGCGGGTTTGGGCAGAGCTTTGAGAGGTAGGGTTTAGAACTTTGGATATCGATTGGGATTTTGGTATCTCTGAAGTTTGAAATAAATAAGATAGACTAGATTAATGGGTTTTGTGTTTTAATACTAGCTTTAGGTTTTGGTTTTATTGTACTTTTAAGCTTTTAGCCTTTGGGCCTATTTGTTAATCAGTGGAAATTTATATGGGCTTTTATTTTTTGATTGGTTAATTCACATTGTAAACATAACAAGCGTGATAGGTTGGGTGCAATTTTTAAAATTTATGCAGGGTAGATTGTAAAAAAGACAAGAGCGTACATGCTAATTTGAAAAGTTTGGGGAAAGTAACACACCCATCTATGGGGTTTATAAATCTGCCCTTGAATAAATTTTCAGGTTTAGATAAAACGTAGATGGCTTTATATTTTGAAATGGTTATCTCAATATTAGTCCCTGAAATCTTTAATATTTTGACATTAGTCCCCTAAATCATTGAAATTTGAAATTAGTCCCCCAAATCTTATTACTATTTTGAAATTAGTATCCCTAGTTAGAGGCTGTTTGATTTGAGATGGAATATTTTGTTAACTTTATTTTTATCTTTTGAGGGTGTGTAAATTATTACACCCTTTCAACGTGGGTCTAGGGAAAGCTAGGTATAAGATTAACTTTTCTTGCTGGAACATGTTGAAGGAATGCAAATATTGTGCATTTCCCTTAGGCTAAGTTATAGAAAACTACATCAAAAATCTCGTCATTAGTACACAAAACTTCTTTTGGCTTGCTTAATTTTTCTATTACAACACTAAAGTTTTTCTATTACAACCTTCAATTTGGCACTTATTTCGAGGTAATCCTCCATAGTGGCGGATCTAGAATTTTCAGAAAGTGGCGTCTCTACATAAATTAATAGGGTTAGTTGCGGATAGACCCGCTGTACTATTGTTAAATTAAATTTATTATCCTCAGTTCTATTATTCTATATAGACTTTCTGAGTGAATTTTTTTATTATCTTTTTCAGGTGATCTATATGTAACAATAGATTATATAAAAATGTATTTTCACTGGTTGTGGCTTTCTTCTTGTACTTGTTTATTCTCTTTTGGGTTGTTTTATTAAACTTTTATTAATGGAATACGAGGGTAGTTACTCACTATTTCACTAAAAAAATGTTAGATTTTCACTTTAGAGGGTCCATTTGCAACAATAAAACTCTTTCTAGGGGTTTATTTGCAATAACAGAACTGCATGGGTAGTAAGTTCAATTTGGCGATAGTATAGGGGGTCTATCTGCAACTGACCCTAATTTAATTACAAATATTAAATTAATTAACTCAAAAGGTAGTGAAAACCGATTAAAATAGAAATGAGAGAAGACTATGGAAGAAAATATAAATTGCTTAGGCTAAAAAAATGCAGAGTTTAGTTAGGGTTACCAATTATAACTAAGGTTATATAATGGGGAGGGGTCCTATGTCAAAGTGGCGTTGTGACACCACTTTGACATAGGTGGATCCTCCCTTATCCTCAAAGTGAATAAACATGACAGTTGTTTGGTTATAATAGCCTTGACATAATTGTAGCTTTGAGTCAATTTCAACATCATCTCTCGTTATTCTTCTTATAGACCCCAAAAGAAATGAATAAGATCAAGCAATGATAGCTCCACCTGATATATAGTGGATATTTCAAGTTGTTGCCCCATGGATATAGGTTGAACTTGGTCAACCGGACTATGTAAATCTCAATGTTCTTGCTTAAAGTTGTTACATCTTGAGATCTTGTGGCTTTATCTTCAGGCAATGTTTTAAATATTAGGTATCGGAAAAATATCGGATGGTCAAAATTCATATCGGATTGCGAATATCGGGAAAAATTGAGGATATGTTATTAATATCAGAATGCCATAACAAATATTTGCATATATAGTATAATGCACTAAAATGTAGTCTCAACATATTTGATAAAATCTAATCATACAAAATATAAATAATATATATTTAGGATCACTAATTAACTTTGTAAAAAAAATAAAAGCACAAATCAATGTTGCAACATTTTGTTTGATTTTTAGGCCAAAATATCATTTGATATAATGAAAAAATTATGATATCTCACCCAAAAATTATCAAACACGGTATATTATTTTTGCGACAAGCCATACAGAAGAATATATCGGGGATATATCGCTCAAAATAGTCAAAAAGTAGTAAATAATATTTACAGGGCATATCGGTTGTGGCAAGCACTGTAAAAGGATATATCGGGCGATATATCGAATGATATATCGGGCCGTATCGGAGATATTTGAAACATGTCTCTAGATTGCAGAGTTTAGAAACGAAAATCGTCAATTCTTAATAATTGATAGCATAGTTCATGATGATGGATTCAGGGTCGAGTTTGCAAGATAGAGGTCAAGGTCGTGTAAATCGAAGATCGATTGAGCAAGGATCAAGAGGAAGAAGAAAAAAAGTTGGATCTTTAGGTAGATGTGGTTGAGATCCAACAAATTACATCGGGATACGGAGTGTTTTGGATGGCTGAGTCGTGTGCGACAATGAGGTTCATGGAGACGCTCCGACAAGTGCAGAGACAGACAGTAACATGCGGTGAGTCCTGTGGTGGCATTGGGGAACTCATTTAATGACAGAGTTACTCATAGCGGTTTCCTGTTTGCATGAGAAACACGAAAGAAAAGAAATTTGAGCTTTTTATGAGTGGCGGTTGTGTCCAGCCATGGAGGAGCGCTACTAATCGCTGACTGGAAGATCTAAAGAGCTTGTTAATGTGGTGGTGAGTGTTAGAGGCTAGGCTACATGATGTGGTGGTGTGAGGG